TAATGGTAGTAATCATAGTAATAATAATAATAATAATAATAATAATAATAGTAATAGTAATAGTAGTAATAATTATCGTAATAATAATAATAATAGTAATAATAGTAATAGTAATAATAATAATAATAGTAGTAATACTCAGTGTGCCGGGAGCCTCGAACTGCCATTTGGACAGTCTTGCAATCATGGTCCTATCACACCCTAAATCCTATCGAAGCCCAAACCCTGTCTGAACCAGTGCCATAATCATCTTCATATCCAAACCGTCGTGTCAGTCCTCCGAGCCAATGACTCAAGATTTCCACGAATCATAATCGGAGGTTATTAAGCTCTGTGATGCTGATCGCCGTTATCATCTTGAAGATGACGATGAACAGTCTTCACAATCATTATCCGCATCTCCTCTGTATCACCAGCCGCCATCAACTTACAAATCTTGCTGAACCACTTTGGGAAACATGCTCAAAAAACACTGCGAATGCGTATCCCAAGCTGGCTCCTTCAGCTGCTGCAGCAGTGTCACTTCGTTGGCCAGTGCCTGCAAGGATTTCAGGCTTGGGGCGATCCCTACACTGCGTTTGCTACTGGTGATGGCAAACTTGGTGGGGGGTCCAGTACAAGATCACACTCTTTGGGTGCTTAACATGCCCTTCGGCCTTTGGCCTCTGTCATGAAGCCACAGAGCCGGCAAATGCTATCTATACTTCCAGTCCCTCAAAAACTGAGCTATGCCTTTGTGCAACCTTGAAGAGCGACAAGCTAGTGGAAGGCTGTCTCCTATCCCGGAGCATGTGGGCATGTCAGGAGGACCCTTTCGTCTTTGCTATGATCATGAACCCCAGAGTTACACACACCCTGTATCATAACGATCACAGATCCTAGCATCAAGACTCCAAAATTCTAACGAAATGGCAAAAAACATGCACAAGTTGGGCAGCGATCAAGGTTCGTGGTTTTGCTGGACCGGCATCAGGCTTAACGTGTTTGAAGCACCTCAGTAACTTTGTTAAAGGTGAGCCGAGGGGTTGATAGAACAGAACGGCTCAGAACCAGCAAAAGCTTACCTCCAGTTTGCGATCAGTGGGAAGAGCCTCGAAATGCTTTGGGCAGCTCGCCGTGACTCGTTTCAGCGCCAGCTGCCTGGAAATCTAACAGTCTAGGCTAGGTCTTGGCATTTACAAGAGGGCTATGCCAGGGTTATGCCGTACTACTCGAGTGCAGTCTCACTTCCGTTTTGATGCACGCGCTATGGGGTTTCAGCGGGATTTGGTTTTGTACATGCAACACATGCATTGCTTGTCATGCTGCAGTGGTGGCTCTACTTGCTATCGGGTTCGGGCGTCAACTCGAACCCTGCAATCCATCAGGGGTGATGCATAAAGAGTTTGGACATGAATGCGGATGCCATCCGAGGCCCGCAAATACCAGCAGTGTCAGCATAAGATGAACAAGCTTGCTATATACTAAATCGCACACGTTACGCTTGATCTGATGCGTTCCATGTGCCTACATTTATCGGCCGTGCTCATATGTTCCAACCAATGTAACCGAAGTCTATGACTAACAACTTAGCAAAACAAACTGAATCACTGCCGCTGGTTCTGTAGCTGTTCCTGCTGACCTACTGCTGCTCCTGCTCCTTCTCCTTGCGTGGCAGGGGCTTTCAGTTCCTGGGTGGGCGTTGGGTGCACGTGCCTTGGTTTACAGTGAGCGCCTATATAAAAGTTGGAAGCTGGGTAATCGAACGGTTGGTCCGGAATCGGATCTTGAAATTTGGGCTTGTGCTACAGAAGGCTTCCTCGCACTCGCGGCAAGATTATAAGATGACAAGCGCTCTTAAGGATCTTCCCGCTCGGATTGTTTGCAATCTCCCCTCCCCGGCCCGCACACTGAGCGGATCCACTCCCGCACCCTTGAAAACGCACTGCTGCTACAACAACAACAACTACTACTACTGCTACTACTACCACTACTACCACTACTACCACTACTACCACTACTACCACTACTACCACTACTACCACTTCCACTACTACCACTTCCACTACTACCACTACTACCACTACTACCACTACTACCACTACTACTACTACTACTACTACTACTACTACTATTACCACTTCTACCACTTCTACCACTTCTACTACCACTACTACCACTACTAC